AATTAGCAAAAATTAATGTTGCACAACTAATTTGAAATGCCTCCTCCTCAGATATTCAGGTGGCTGAATCTCCTGGGAAACTTCTGGAAGCTCAATCAGAGAGCAAAGTTTAGCTGCTCCATAGGGTCCTAGCCCTGCTGCACTGGGTTCTGCAGACAGGTATGGGAGCCTTAACCGAGCATTTCCACTCTCACACTGCCTCTGGGAATGCTGGGGGTGGCAACAACTGCTCACTCCACACATTACAGAGCAGCTTCCCAAACATGAAAGGCAGTGCAGGCTGGAGTAGAGGCTGTGGGAAGCACAATGGCTCAGGATTGCTCACACAGCGAGGACATGGATGGGACACAGGCCTTTGCTTTCTGGCCCTGGCTGAAAAAACCCCAAACCTGTACCTGCATTAAACACAGCAGCACTTGTAGCAGAAAACCTCCCCCAAGCCCTGCAGTGGCTCCCCCACTCCACCTCAGGGCAGGTTTTCCAGGGTTTCCTGAGCACACGTGCCTCTGAACGCTGTGCTGAGCACACCTCAAGAGAATTGATGCTGAATGTACCTCTCCAGACAGCACAACACAGGCAGCACACTCCACATTCCCTGGTTTTAATCAGAAAGAAGCCAGGATTCTTTTTGTACATTACTCTGAAGAGATGGCATCACATCCTGCAGGAAAAGCTGTCTTTACAGATTAGCACAGGCTTGTGTGAAATCTTGAGCAAGTCATATCCAGATTCATCCTGGCTGCCTTTAGTACCTAAATGATGCTGCAGTTTTTGGAATTGGTCACCTCAAACAGCATCACAGAGAACAGAAAGGTGATGTCAGAGGACTGCTCTGAGCTGGAGTGGGCTGAGCCATCCCTTTCCTCTGATTCAGGTGTGAACACTATTTAATCAATGCCTGAAATTAGCAGGATAAATCTGGACCCTAATGCCTCTGCATTACTCAGCTATCTCAAAGGGAGCTGCATCAACCTGCTGCATTCAGGCTGTGGATGTGAGGGATGAGCTGTGTGTCTCCCCTGACACCTCAGAGGCAGACACAGGCCTTTCCCAGGACCCTCTCAGTCACTCCTGATGCTCTGGGGCTGCTCCAAGTGCTCCTGGACTCCTTCCAGCACCTCTGCAGGAATATGTTGTTTATATGCCAGAAATATCGATCATCGTGTTCTTTGTATTAAGCCGACTACCAGAGACCATTCAACCTCCAGCCAAAGCCTTCATGGGGCTTCTCTATCCTGCCACTTCCTCCTCACCTGTCCCAGGCACAGGACTGGATTATTGTTATCCAGGCACAGATTCCAGGATGTGTACGAGCCGTTTGTGTGTCACACAGAGCTGGCCTGTGTCAGCAGAATTGAGGTCATGGCTGCGTTTGCCTCAGCCCACCCCACAGCAAGGCAGCAGGACGAGACTCCTTGTCTTGGGAGCTCCATTAGGAGCCTCTTTCAAGTTTTTGCTCCAGTATGAAACAAGAAGAAATGCTGGGACTTGTAGACCAAGCTGGCATCACAATGAATACATACAACCATAAAAAGATTCTACTGAAACAATAATCAAATATGCTTAATAAAACTGTGACCAATGGATGCACTGTCTGGGCAAGAATATGCTCACAAAGCTGGGAGGTAGAATAAGAGACAAGGAAAGGCGAGGCTGGTATTTATCCATCATGGGGTGTCTAGCTGCCTCACGACGGGGCTGCAGCACTCACACACAGCCCAGGATGGAGGTGCCCACGTGGGGAAGCCTTGGTAACTAAGCAATGTCTACCTCAGATCCCCTCACAGGCAGGAGGCCCTCACTGGGGCCTTCCCCTCATATCACAGGGGCCTCTACAGAGCTGCCACTGCAGGGTTCAGAGCAGCCCTAAGCCCTCAAACAGCTGGACCCCCCTGAACACTCCCCCTGTGCCCTCACAGCTCTCTCACGGGTCTCCATGCCCCCACAGCCCCTCAAGCCCTCACACTTCCCTCACAGCCCTCCTAGCTCTTACCGCACCCCCGAGCCCTCACAGATCCTTGAGCCCCCCAGTCTTCTCACGGCTGCCAGAACCCCTGAGCCTTTAGGGACCCCCGAGCCCTCAGAGGAGCCAGGCTCGCTGAGCCCTCAGAGCCCTCTCAGCCTCCCAAGGCCTCACACTCCCCTCACACCGCCCGCCCCAGCCCTTCCCGCCACCCGCGCGCGCTGTCGCCATGACAACGCCCGCGCGCGGCCCCGCCACCCTCGGGCCGGGGCCGCGCGCCAGAAAGTGCTGGAATGTCGCTGCAGCCCGCGCGTGCGCGCACGGGGTCCCTCCCCCACCCGCCGCGGCGCTGCGGCGCCTGCTGGAGCGGGACGGGGGGACGGGCGGCGAAGGAAGGAGGCAGACCTGCCTGCAGGAGCGGAGGCGAGGGGCGGGGGGGAAGCACTGGGGACCCGCGGGGAACCCGCCCTGTCCCGCAGTGAGGAGGAGCCGCCGCCTCCGCTGCGCAAAGCGCGCACTCGGGTCCGTGAATGGGCGGCTGCGGCGGCCACCGCCCAGAGCCCGCTGCGGAGTCACTGCGACGGTTACCAGGGCACTTCGTTCTCCGCCAATCAAACGGCGTTAGCTCATCCCCCACGGTCGACAGCCAATCGGCTTCGACATCAATCATTCAATTGAGCCAATCGGAAACGCCGTGAGCGAGCTGAGGCGGGCACTCGCGGCTCCCGGTTGCCTAACTGTAAAGCTAACAGACAGGAGGGCGGGGTGAATAGGAGCCGTCGGCTTGAATGACAGCGGCCTAGCCAATTAGATTCTCTCATTTGTAGAGCCTCGCTATAAGCATCCAATCGTTGTTGCGAGTGGCCGTCTGGGCGGGGAGAAGAAGGCTGCGCGCGCATTCCGCTGCTATATAAGGGCTGGCGGTTGCCTCACGCAGCCAGAGTCGGTTGGGGAAAGCCTGGGGTTGTAGTGAGCGCTCGGAGCTGCCGCCATCATGAGAGAGATTGTGCACCTGCAGGCCGGGCAATGCGGGAACCAGATTGGAGCCAAGGTCCGGGCGGGGAAAGAGGGCGCGGGGGCGGGAGGGGAGCGCGCCCGGTGCGGCGCGGCCGCCGCTGACGCGCTTCTCTTCGGCAGTTCTGGGAGGTGATCAGCGACGAACATGGTATCGACCCCACCGGCACCTACCACGGGGACAGCGACCTGCAGCTGGAGCGCATCAATGTCTACTACAACGAGGCCACAGGTAGGGCCCGGACCCGCCCCCCGTGCTCCCCCCGGCCCCCCGGCGCGGTAGTCATGGCTCTCCCTGTGTTGCAGGCGGCAAGTACGTGCCCCGCGCCGTGCTGGTGGACCTGGAGCCCGGCACCATGGACTCGGTGCGCTCCGGGCCTTTCGGGCAGATATTCAGGCCAGACAACTTCGTGTTCGGTGAGTGCGCGGGGGCGGGAGGAACCGCGGGGTGGGGCGGGCAGGGCACTGCGGGGCTGCCCCGCCGCACATGCTCCGAGGAACCGGCCCGGACGGGGGTAATCCTGGCGTGGAATACCGGGATTGCGGCTGGGAACAGCTCCGAGGTGGCACCAGAGGTCGTTGCCTTTCGGTTCTTAGTTACCACCTCCGTGCGTGCCACCGGGAGAAATGGAGTGGCTGCTGTATCATTGATAATTAATGTTTGCCTGTGTCTGGCGAGCCACTGCAGAGGTGCTTGTGTGAAACCACAGCCCTGCGCTCGATAAGATGAAAGCTTTCATGGAGCCTGATGCTCTTAGGCTTTGCTTGCAAGCAATAAGCAGGAAGCAGTGACCGTAATCTAATTCGAAAATGGCTCTTTTCCAGGTCAGAGCGGAGCGGGGAACAACTGGGCAAAGGGCCATTATACGGAAGGTGCTGAATTAGTCGATTCTGTGTTAGATGTTGTAAGAAAGGAGGCAGAAAGCTGTGATTGTCTCCAGGGCTTTCAGCTTACTCACTCCCTGGGTGGTGGCACAGGCTCTGGCATGGGTACCCTTCTCATCAGCAAAATCCGTGAGGAGTACCCAGACCGAATTATGAATACTTTCAGTGTGGTGCCCTCCCCTAAAGTGTCAGATACTGTAGTAGAGCCCTACAACGCCACGCTGTCGGTGCACCAGCTGGTGGAGAACACGGACGAGACATACTGTATCGATAACGAGGCGCTGTACGACATTTGCTTCAGAACACTGAAGTTAACGACCCCCACCTACGGTGATCTGAACCACCTCGTGTCAGCCACCATGAGCGGTGTCACCACCTGCCTGCGGTTCCCGGGCCAGCTCAACGCTGACCTGCGGAAGCTGGCAGTGAACATGGTTCCCTTCCCACGTCTGCACTTTTTCATGCCTGGTTTTGCCCCACTCACCAGCCGTGGGAGCCAGCAGTACCGGGCTCTAACCGTGCCAGAGCTCACCCAGCAGATGTTCGATGCCAAGAACATGATGGCGGCGTGTGACCCTCGTCACGGCCGCTATCTGACCGTGGCCGCTGTCTTTAGGGGCCGCATGTCCATGAAAGAGGTGGATGAGCAAATGCTAAACGTTCAGAACAAAAATAGCAGCTATTTTGTTGAATGGATCCCTAATAACGTTAAGACAGCAGTCTGTGACATTCCACCTCGCGGCCTCAAAATGTCTGCCACCTTCATTGGCAACAGCACGGCCATCCAGGAGCTGTTCAAACGCATTTCTGAGCAGTTCACTGCGATGTTCCGCAGAAAGGCCTTCCTGCACTGGTACACGGGCGAGGGCATGGACGAGATGGAGTTCACAGAGGCTGAGAGCAACATGAACGACCTGGTGTCTGAGTACCAGCAGTACCAGGATGCCACAGCTGAGGAGGAGGGAGAGTTCGAGGAGGAGGCTGAGGAGGAGGCAGAGTAAAGCTATGCAGTTGGAACACCTGTAAATTTTGTTTAAAGTTGTATGAACTCTCTCATTCAAAAGTTCTGTTTGTGTTGTGTTATTATTGCTGTTTCCGAGTCACTCCCAATGCTGTACAGGCACCATTAAAGCAGTTTTCACAGTGCAAGACCCCGTCTCCTCTGTTCACACCGGTACGATTCCCGTGTACCGTCCCCGTAGGTGAGCCCGTGGATGTCCTGCAGGTCTGGAACACAAAAACAATAAAACAAAACGGGCTTGGCACGAGCACTGCCCCCTTGCCATGGTAACCGCCCTTCTGCCCTGCCCTCAGCCAGGTGACACCTGCTGTGTCACTGGCTCCTGCTGGTGTGGAGATTGGAGACGTTCCCTGGTGTTCTCTTACAATCAGGTATTGCTGGAGCGGGGCACATTTAACAGGGAGGGTGGATTTAACTCCAAGCTGTATCTAAATTTAGGTACCTGCCTGTGGCCTGGTGCAGCCTGGCCTGGCAGGAGCTGAGCGGGGGTCACCGGAGGTTTGAGCTGCCTGGGCACAAATCGGTGCCACAGAGCTGCCACCCAGCACTGGGTGTTCTGCGGCAGCTGAGCTGCTCCACTGCAGCTCCTCAGTGCTGCAAACCCAGCAGGGAGCCCTGGCCTGGCCCAAGGGTGCTGGGCACGCTGTCACAAGGGACACCAAAGCTGACCCCTTGCACACAGCCCTTCTGCAGTGATTTCAGAAATCACATAGAGGTTTTGATAATCAGGTGTTGATGCAGCCTCTGCTGTTTGGGTGAGCTGAACACCTGACAAGTATCTGACACTAGTTTGTCTCATGAAAACCCTGTATTGACAGCAGGTTTTTACAATGGAACCAATTCATATGTTGGGTGTCGCTTCAAGTGACAAAGCTGTCACCGAGGAGCTGGACAGGAGGGAGCAGGCTCCTTCCCTGCTGAAAAAATTCTGTTCAGTGTTCTAAATTATAACTGCTTTTGTTTAAAGGTTTTCTGCCTTAATTAATTTTCTCCACCCAGAGCCGGACTGGTTGGAGCAGTTAAAACTGTTCTGACTGGTGGCTCCAGAGGCAGGGAAGTGGGAATGTCTGCAGAACAGGGCCCAGTGTCAGACCTGCACTCAACATTCTCCTCTCTGGGCTCGGCCTCCCCATCAGCCACAGCCCAGCCCAGCCAGGGGAGTTGTTTTCCCACTCTTTCAATCCTGCCATATTTCATCTCCCATCTCCCCTCTGCACTGCAGCAAGGACGAGCAGTGAGTCCAGTTCTTCCCGGCTGAGCTCCATAATTTCCCACCCACATTACTGAGCTGTGACCAAACACAGCAAAGCATTAGTTGCTGATTTGTTGAGATTTTTTAGCCTGGTACATTAATGCTTTCAGGTGCATGGACACACCTTCCCCTTACTTACAAAATTCCTCCAGACCTCTCCTTTTAGGCAGCCCAAGGGCTCAGGCAGGGACCTGTCCTGATGGCAAATACAATTTCCCTACACTTTCTATGCTTTCTCAACACCTTCACACCATCTACCTTTTCCTTTTTATCAGACTTCCAGCTTTTTAGAACAAATCCCTTTCCTGCCACGTGACAGGTGGGATGTCACTGAGCCTGGGCAGGGGATGGTGGCTGGAAACGTTAAGCCTGGGAGAGGCTGGCAGTGGGAAAGCTAGGCTCTCCTGGGCATGGCAGAGTTCCAGCAGCTCAGCACAGACCAGGAAAAACCTACTACCCACGTGGAACACCTCACTGATTGTTCACTGCTATGCCACTCCAGCCAGTAAGAGCACTACTTAACCCAGTAATTAGTATTAGTGACTTTCGTTTTCGCTCAGCTGATGAACTTACGTGGTACAAAGCCCAAGTAGTTAGGTATGAGTCCTGCACGGCTGTAAATTTTGGTGTCCGGCCAGTGTGTCAGGGGGAATCTTGTGCCCAATGTATAAGGTGGATTTCTCTCCAAAAGCTGGAAAACAAAACAAAAAAGACCCCACAACAACATGGAACGGTTTATTTTAAAACACACTATTTTTACCAAAGTCATGTGCTTTGACTCTGCATCATATAAAATATTTAAGCCAACATAAACCAATTCTCCTTCCAGTCCTGCTTTCTTCTAATTAAGAGCTACATTGCATTGTCCCTTTTCCCACTCCATAAATTTTTCTCCTGGCAGGTGTTGGCAGCAGTCCCTGCTGGCTTGTCCCCCATGCCCACAGCATGGCCCAGGTGCTGTCCTTGGGATCCCTGCAGACCAGGCTGCAGAGATTCATTCCCTTGGGGATCATCCCCAAGTCCCAAAGCCTCTGCTCTGCTGTCCCTGGAGCTGGCGTTCCTGTGCTGTGGCTGTGTTTGGGCTTGACCCCCCCCTTTGTGTTTCCATGAGTCCCACCAGCAGGAATGGCCTGGAATTCCCAGGCCAGGAGGAACAGGAAGGCTTAGGTGGTATTAACTGAAGGAAGAGTGCAAATCATCTCCTGCCCTCTGAGGCCGGACACAGGCGAGGGGCTGGGCAGCAGGATGGGTGTCACAGCCGGGTGTCACAGCTCGGCATCCACAGAACCCCTAAAGGTGTCCCTGGAGCTGTGCTTGGGATGCAGAGCGGGGATGTGGCTCACAGAGCCCAGCACACCGTGGGGCCACCGCGCCCTTTGTGCTGGGATGGAGCCACGCAGTGCCTGCTGCAGGCAGGGAGCAGTGATCCATGGCACATCTGTAACCGAGGACAACAAAGATTTAGGGCAGCAGATTAGAGGCTTGAAGTCAGAAGCCATCTTAGCTGGAAATGCCGTGTGATTCTCCCTCCCTTCAGCGCGTCTGCTCCTCGCTGCTGCCGAGCCCCGGAGCGCTGAATCCCGCACGGACGGACAGACACCTCCCCGGCTGACCCACGGCATGGCAGGCACCGGGGCAGGAAGGCTTGGCAAACAGCACGCCCAGGGATAAATGCCCGGGTTTTGTTCTGTTTGCTCCTTTTCTGCTCCTAATCACAGCAGCAGGGAAGGAGACGGAAGCCAGCGCCGGGAAATGCGTCTCACCCAGAGCACGACGCTGCCCTGCTGCTCTCCCGCTGGCTCAGCCCTGCCCCGCTGGTTTCTCCGAGCTGGGGACCCTCAGCCTCGGACGCTTGTCCTGCATCAGCCCCGCATGCTCGGGGATGGAGGCACGGCGGTGTCGGGGAGCAGCAAGGGCTGGGTGCCTCAGCCTGTGTTCAATGCGCTGATCCGCTGGACCAGCGAGGCTGCTGCACCCCGGGATCCCTCTGCACCCCGGGATCCCTCTGCACCCCGGGAATCACACCGCATCCCGGGAACCTCTCTGCACCCCGGGGATCCTGCTGCACCCCGGGGATCTCGCTGCATCCCGGGGATCTCACGCCCTGCCGGGGGCAGGGAGGGACGTGTAGCTCTGAATGCAATCAGCTGCTGCGGGAGGGATCTCGTTTTCCGTGCCGGAGGATTGTGTCATTGTATAGGCACCGGGGCAGGAAGGCTTGGCAAACAGCACGCCCAGGGATAAATGCCCGGGTTTTGTTCTGTTTGCTCCTTTTCTGCTCCTGATCACGGCAGCAGGGAAGGAGACGGAAGCCAGCGCCGGGAAATGCGTCTCACCCAGAGCACGACGCTGCCCTGCTGCTCTCCCGCTGGCTCAGCCCTGCCCCGCTGGTTTCTCCGAGCTGGGGACCCTCAGCCTCGGACGCTTGTCCTGCATCAGCCCCGCATGCTCGGGGATGGAGGCACGGCGGTGTCGGGGAGCAGCAAGGGCTGGGTGCCTCAGCCTGTGTTCAATGCGCTGATCCGCTGGACCAGCGAGGCTGCTGCGCCCCGGGATCCCTCTGCACCCCGGGATCCCTCTGCACCCCGGGATCCCTCTGCACCCCGAGATCCTTCTGCACCCCGAGATCCCTCTGCACCCCGGGATCCCTCTGCACCCCGGGATCCCTCTGCACCCCGGGGATCCTTCTGCGCCCCGGGATCCCTCTGCACCCCGAGATCCTTCTGCACCCCGAGATCCTTCTGCACCCCGGGATCCCTCTGCACCCCGGGAATCACACCGCATCCCGGGAACCTCTCTGCACCCCGGGGATCCTGCTGCATCCCGGGATCCCTCTGCACCCCGGAATCCCTCTGCACCCCGGGATCCTTCTGCACCCCGGGATCCCTCTGCACCCCGGGATCCCTCTGCACCCCGGGAATCACACCGCATCCCGGGAACCTCTCTGCACCCCGGGGATCCTGCTGCATCCCGGGGATCTCGCTGCATCCAAGGATCTCACGCCCTGCCGGGGGCAGGGAGGGACGTGTAGCTCTGAATGCAATCAGCTGCTGCGGGAGGGATCTCGTTTTCCGTGCCGGAGGATTGTGTCATTGTATGGGAGCTCTTACAGCAAGGGGACGACAGTATTTCAGGAGGGATATTTCTGCATCCTTCCCAAAAGGAGGAGAAAGAAGGTCTAGATCCCTTTAAGAAAAATTGTGTTCGGAAAGGAAAAAGCCTTACAACCAAATAAATGATATATCACAGGAAGTCACCAGCACGGCCAACCAGACAGAGGAGATGTATTCTATAAAGGAAGTGCAGATACTTGCATCCTGTATTTCCGCACCCAGAGCAACATTTTTAACATCCACTCTTGACCCAGCCCTCAATATATTTCCTTAATCCTTTTATGAACTCATTTACCATCCCTTAATGTCCCAAGGAAACAAGTTACAGAATTTAATTGCTGGTGTTTTTTTCAATGTTAACTAAAAGCATTTGATTTTGCTTGTACTTGTTCCCCAGTTCTAATCCTACTACTGAAAATTCAGCATTATACATATTCTCATTTCAGTAATCTGTAATCTACCTGGCGACGGTCAAATTCCTTCATGGCTTTCTTCACAGACAAGAGGTAGGTCATGCCAATGTTGTCCAGGGAGCAGGGGATGTATCCAGTGTACCCTTTGGGTGAGGCAAAAGAGAACATTTTCTGCTTGAGAACATACAAAGATAATTTAAAGATCAACCATTCTGAGAGTAGAGGAGCCTGGGATGAATATAAAACCTTAAAGTATAGGAAGGAAAAATTAATCTGTTTAAGTTGTAAAATTAACTCTTACATGTGAGGTAGCTTCTCTGAAAGAGGTTTTTTTCCTTATGACTCCCAAGGAGAACACAATGGCCTGAACTGATTTTTGTTGGTCTGCATGTGGTATGGAAGAACCATTTCATTTTCTTAGTCCTTTTTTTACATTGACAGCTCTTTCATGTTTTCTCCCAATTTAATACACATTCAGGGGCTAACAATGGGATGTCCAACCTTTTGTCCTCATCTCCTCTGCCCATCCAACAAATTCCCACAACAGAAACTTTAAAAGACTAAAACTACAAAAACCTAGTGAGGTAGAACCTAAAAGCAGCCCAAACTCCCCTTTTCCAAAGGAATGCTTTGGAAAGGGAAATTTGTCTTCTGCACCCTAAAGCCTGGACACTCTCATTTTAGCTGGAATATTGTGATTCCTGTGATCCTGTCCTGCAGTGCAGAGTGAAGGATCCCACCTGCTGCAGTCGGATCCTCGAGGGGGATCAGCCCATCACCCCTGTAGCTCTCCTGCTGCACAGGAATGTTCTCCCAGGGCCAGGGGGAAGATGTAGAACACCCCTTGCAGGACACAGTTCACACCTCTATGGTGGTGCCATACCCCCTGCGTGTGCATTTGGTGATTCAGGAAAACATCTGGTTTCTGGCAGGGTGGGGCAGAGCCCAAGGACCAGCTCTCCTCACCACAGCTGCAGGGGACTGAGGTGGTTCCTGAATCCCAGGTGGCTCCTGAATCATCCAAAGGGTGACAGCATCCCAAGGGTGACAGCATCCCAAAGAAACGCCCTTGCAGGGAGAGCAGCAGGGATATTTTCCATCCCAAACAAGCTGGAGCCACTGGGCAATGCCACAGTGTCCCCATGGGGAGAAGGGTCACATCATTTCCTAGAGGTGGCCTGGTGCTGCAGGTGGCCTGGGTGCTTTACCTAAAGTGGCTTTCTGTCGGATGGCATTTGGGACAGGCAGCACTGGCAGTGTGTAATCTGCTGTTGCAACCCCTCCTGGCAGTGTCACACCTCCGGTTTCTAGCTGCTTGAAACAAAAAGAGAAATAGGATCAAACACCAGTAAAACCCGCTTCTTCCCTCAGCTGCACTGCTTAAATCACTGCCAGGACTGGGAATGGCCACTGCCCAACTGCCATTTCCAGTTCTTCCCAGCTCCACTCCAAGAGCCACCCCAGCCACTTCTGGGAAAGCCAAATGACGAGATGAGCAAGCAGCAGACCTAGAAAGGGTTTGCAAAATCCTCATGCAGAACAAGGGGAGCTTTGGGCTCTGAGCTCCTGTGCAAATCTGTTTCTGAGGGCAAGGAGCAGGAATGTCCCGTCTTGGGATTTACATCCAAGCCAGCTTTTGACTCCATACGTCAAACCTCTAATCTCTGCCTTCAGAGGATTTGCAGAGCCACGGCTGCAGGAACGTGACAAAGGCTGTTGCTGGCTCCAGAGAAAAGAAATGTTTTATTAAAAAATAATAAATATAATAATAATTAAAGAAAAAAAAAACAAAACAAACAAAAAAATCTCCAAAAAACAAACAAACAAAAAAACCCCAAACCAACCAACCAACCAAACAAAAAGAACACCATAAAACATGTTGGTCTGGAGGGATATTTGGCTGTGCAGTGCTCAACAGCCCCCAGCTCCACAGGCAAATGCCAGTACTGGTGTTCAAAGGAGAGGTAATGATGGTGTGAAATTCAGGTGGGGGCAGATACAGGGTCAGAAACCCGACCAAAGGTGCTGGGACTGCTCTGTTTTTGGGGGGAGGAGGAGGAAGGCAGCATCAGGGCTCCAAGAACACCCTAAGGAAGCACAAGCCTGGCTGGCCAGCACAGCATAACACAACTTTAGGGACTGGGATTGAAGCCAAATGCACCCAAATGAGAAATTAAGCCTTTTTGATTGGGAAGTGTAATTAACTATCAAAACCATTTCCTGAAGATGGAGTAGATTTGCTGCTGCTGGAAACATTTGTGTGTCTCATCTTTCTTTACAAAAACTCCTAACTTTGTGCCCTTGCCATGTGTTGGATTGAGCCCTTTCCTGACCCAGGGATGGGATAACTGAGAGCCATTTTAAAAACTTTTATTCTATTTTCAGTCTCATGCGAAGGGTGAGACAAAACAGATGTTATAATTCACACTATTACAATCAGAAGCTTTAAAACATTTACAGCATGGCGTGGCTAAAGCTAATAAGCCAAAAAACACTTATAGTGTGTTGTAATTAAGAAATAGCTTCTAATTGTAACATAAATAATAACATCTGTATTATCTCGCCCTTCACATGAGACTGAAAATGGAATAAAAGTTTTTAAAACGCCTCTCAGTTGCGCCTGCCTGGGTCAGAGAAGGGCTCGATCCAAGAGGCGCCCGCAGCCGTGTGAAGCCCCCTCCTCACGCCCCTCCCGGAGCCACTCACCGTTCCGCTCCCTGCAGGGCTGCCCTGGCCGGCTCCAGTCCCTTTTCCCAGGAGCCGGGCCAGGGGTGCCATGGCCAGCTCCCTGTCCATCTCCTGGGCCGCGGGGTGCAGGGCCAGCCCCCGCAGCGGCTCCGGGGGGCTCTGCTGGGGCCCGGGCACGGCCAGGCCCGGGGGGCACCGCCAGGGCTGCGGCTCCTCCAGCACCGAGGGCACGGGCTGCGGCCCCAGGGGAACCTCAGCAGGGCTCCTGAGGGGCTGGTAGGTGACATATCCTGAGGGACAGACACTGAGTTAGGGGACACGAGGGACTCCCGTTATCCCCGTGCCCCGGGAAGGAGCCTGGAGTCAGCGGTGTAGAACCAGAACAGCTCGACTTGGAAGAGACCACAAAGATCCACTCCATGCACATCCCATGGCTGTGTCATCAGCCCCATCAATAAACCAGCCTGCACAGAGATCCAGCACAAGTCCCAGCTAAATAACATTTATTCCAGCTGTCACCAAAACGGTCAAATATCACCAGCCAAGCTAAAAAGTTGTATAGGGGGAAAAAACCCTCAATCCTTAACTCCAGGTGGCTGTGTCAGCCCACCCCAAACAGAGCCCTCTCCAAGGAATTCTTGCTCTGGCACCATTGCTGCTCATCGAGGAAAGAATCTGCTGTAACACTGGCTGGAAAAAAATTATCTTACATCCAGCAAATGCTAAATATCTCCACTGTGAATGAGGGACAGAGCCCTGTGATTTGAGGTTCTGCAGGGACAGCGGAGCTTGGCAACTTTTGTCTGATTTCCCCTTAAAAATCCCTCCTGACGTGGCTCCCCAGGTGCCCCAGCCCTGTGTGACCCCTGGCTCAGGCATTTCTCTGTGCCAGCAGTGAAGCCCATTTTTCCCTTCTGCAGTTCCAGAGGAGAATCACTCCTCCACCCCACAGCCACCTTTTCCTTCTTGGAAAACTGTTACTGTGTCAGCCTGGTCTTTTTAAAACAAACCAAATTCCTTCCATTTTTGTGCTCACAGGCCATTTTTTTCCAGGTCATTACAGCCTTCCTGTGAGCTCCCCTTGGGAGCACGTCTGCATCCCAGGGCTGAGCCCAGGGAATGAGGAGCCTCTTCCAGCAGAGGCTCCATCTGCAGACAGCCCCTTCCTCTGCAGTGCTGGATCAGTGCTGGACTCAGAGGTTTTTTCCAAAATTTCTATAAATTTCTGATGGGCATTTAGGTGTTCAATCTGCCCACAACTACATAATAATGTGTATATATTCTGTGTACAGCTTTGTGAAATATACATTATATATATATATATATATTCAGTTGCTCTATGCAACTGAATTATCAAGTGTCCAGGCTGGAACCAAAATAAAGAAAAATCCTCAATTAAAATGATTTTTCAATCCAATGTGCAAATTTTAAAGCAGGTTTGTTTTTTTACTTCATTATTAATAAGAATGTTGAATCTACTCTTTCTCCCACAAACCAAAGGAAAAGAAAACTTAGGTTGTTCTGTACTTTTTGATCACCATGACATAAAACAGCCAGCAGGACACCAGGCAGCACCTGGGCAGGGTTTAAGGGATTGCTCAGGGCCAGCTGGACAGCAGGAGCTGTTGGTGATCAAAGAATTCAGGACCTTTTCAGCACAGCCAGGGCTGGTTCTTCAGGACCTCACTGAGGAGCAGCAAACACGAGCACCATTGGCAACGAGGAGAGAACCAAAATAATGAGAGAGCAACTCGGTCAACTGGTTAGTTGGGTCTGTCCAAGCTGTATTTTAGACCAAGGAAATGCAAATTCAAATCTCCAGGAAGGAAGCCTGTAAACACCACCTGTGTACTGGAGGGCTGGATCCTGGAAAACAGGGCCAGGAGGAGCAGAGAGGCCACAAGTTTGCAAGAAGCTGCACGACACAAATTCCCAGTGAGAAATGAGAAAGCAACACTTGGGTGTGGCCATCCCCGGGGAAATAAAGACCCAGATCCCACAGGGGCACATTATCCCCATGTTCAGCCTGGAGGAAACTCACTCCCACTGTCCAGGGCATCCACAACAGCCAAATGTGTCCCCAAGGGATGGCACGTCCCCAGGGGCTGATCAGGGCAGCCCTGCTGTGCCTGCTTTGGGGCTGCTCAGCAGGGACCAGGAACTCTGCACAAAGCGCTGGGACTTGGTTGGAAATTCCTGCAAATTCCCTGTATTGGGAATCCACATGAGCCTGTCTGTGCTTGATGGGAGAGATGGGGCCTGTTAGCAAAGTGGAAAGGGAAAAGAGGGAAAGGAGGGAAAAGACAGGAAAGAGGGGAAAGAGGGGAAAGAAGGGAAAGAGGGGAAAGAGGGGAAAGAGGGAAAGGGAAAGCACAGGAGCCCTTCTGCTGAGCTGAGGAGGAGCAGCAAGAAGCAGAATCAAGGCCAAGCTGTCAGAGCTCAGAGCAGAGCGAGCTGTGCACCAGGCAGGTGAGCCAGAAAAGAATCTGAGGTAGGACACCAGACCTTCCCCAGAAAGATAGATTTTAGCCTGTGGAATTGTGCTGGGTTTGACTGGGATAGAAGTAATTTTCTTTATAGAATATCATACAGGCCATGGTTTGGATTTGTCAGCAGGCAGCTGTATGGGGTTTAGTTGCCAGCCAGGGTTAAACCACAGCAGGAATTCTGAAAGAACTGGGGAGTGAGTTAATGATATGGCATAAAATCACTTAACTTCATCTAACTGAAGATAATCTGGGAACTGAAACTCTCCTCTCCATAACACCAGAATCCCCATCCTCATCCTCATCAGCTGAGGCCAAGAACTGCAGCACCTCACTCTGCTGCTCTCCAGCTGTCAGAGCTCCTGCACCAGAGCTGTGATTGCTCCAAGGAAAATATCCCATTTCATCCAGCAGCCTACCAAGGACAGAAGGATACAGACCCCACTACTGGTAATTAACACCGTGCTCATTAGCAGGGTCCATTTGCTCACCTGGATGGTCGATGTGGTAATGGTACTCGAGGAGGTTTTCTTTGTTGTCCAGTGGTGCCAGCAGGGAGCGAGGGCTCTTCCTGACGCTGGGATCTGTCAGGAGATTGTGGGTGGTTCTTCCATAGGTGTCCCCAAACATGAAGGTGAATTGAGGAACGTAGCCCCCATAGCTGAGGAGGAAACCAGAAAGGAGCCATCACTGAGATGGCAGTGGGGGATGTCCACTGGTGGGGTAATCATGGAATCCCAGACTGGTTTGGGCTGGAAGGGACCTTAAAGTCCATTCAGTCCCACCCCTGCCATGGCAGGGACACCTCCCACTGTCCCAGGCTGCTCCAAGCCCCAAAGTCCAACCTGGCCTTGGGCACTGCCAGGGATCCAGGGGCAGCCACAGCTGCTCTGGGCACCCTGTGCCAGGGCTGCCCACCTCACAGGGAACAATTCTTGCCCAATATCCCATCCATCCCTGCCCTCTGGCAGTGCAGATCTGCTGCAGAGTGTCTGTACCCTGGACAGGAGCCCAGGGAAGGTGAAGGATGGGATGAGCCCGGGGGGAGAACCGAGACCACACGTGTGGTCACACAGGAGCCAGGAGGGAGTGTCTGTGTTCCACATGCATGTTCTCCTCTGGCAGCACAAAAACTGGCTCATCAATTCACAGGCATGTACAGGCACAGGCCCTTGGTTCATGGAGAAACATGGGTGAGGTCAGGGAGCAGCACCTGGGGATGGGAAAACTCCCAGCACAGTCTGGGCTTTGGCAGCACCAACATCCACAATCCCCCAGTTAAAATACCATTTCCTGTTCCATGTGCCCCAGTTTAAACCTTGCAGTGCCTCTCTGCTCTGACACACTGTAACTGAGAAAATCCCAGTGTCTCTTGTTCAGTATTGAAACTCAAAAATCAGAATAATTCCTCTCTTGCAGCCTCCTCTCTCTGCTCACAGCGAGGAGGGGGCCCAGGCTGATGAGCCCCCCCAGGCACTGCCTGGCACAGGGGGGCACAGGGAGGGTGGTCAGTCCCAGGAACAAACATAGCTCTGTTTTTTTGGGATCTCTCCACCGCCCAATCCCTGGGCTGGGCACTGTGACTTGGTGGCCAAGGGCAGGGCAGGTGCTGGAGCTCTGGCTCTGCTCCGAGACACCATCAGAAACTCGAGCTGTTCCAGTCTCAGATTTCCTAATGGTGATGTTATTCCAGCACTGAAGAAAGGTAGAGCAGCCAATTGCAATGAACAGAAATATTCCATCAATGAGCCCAGCGTGGATCCGGGGATAAAGCCAGATGATGCATGAGGATCATAAGATGATGAGTAAGTCCTTTCCCTTCCAAATAGTTTAAACAGCAGCCAGCAGAGCTGTGCATTTACTCTTGGCAGGTTTCCCCACTCTGCATGCAGGATTCCTCCTGGAGCAGCTCAGTGCCTCATCCCCAGGGATTCTCAATGAGTCTTGCAACATGGATGATAAACTGAGCAAAGGCACAAATGACACAGCCCAAATAATTACAGGATTGCTGGAGGGATTTTGATCATGGACAAAATAATGGCTGGGCTGAGAAAGGGCCCTGTTCCCCTGCAATTAAACACGAGGTGAGCGAGTTGGGATCTGCCACGGAGGGAGTCACAAGTGCTGCTGGTAAAGCCTGGGGAAGGGATCAGCCTCAGCAGGGCTGTTTGTGCCCCCGTGCTGGGGGTGATGAAGGACCCCCTTTTGGGGAGCCTGTCTGGGGCTCAGGCTGGAGCAGTGAGACCCCCCTGCCCGAGGCTGAGCCCGTCCCACCCTTCCCTTGCTCAGCCCTATCTCCTCCATCACCACTCCCAGGCTGCCACCCAAACCTGCTCTGCCTCCCTGGCTGCCAGCAAAGCCTTGGCCCTGGGCCATCCTCTCCTGTCTCCAAACCCTTCCCAGCTCTGCAGAGCCAGGCTGTGCCCAGGATTCATGGACTGACCCCTTCTCTGCCCACCCAGACCTTCCCAAGCCATCCCACTCGCTGGGTTTAGGCTTCCCAGTGCTCTTGAGCACTGTGGTGGCTTTCCAAACTCCTGCTGTGACCATTGCCTGGCCTGATGACAACGACGTGCTTTGGTGCTCTCGAGGTGGTTGTAGGTTCACTGGCACAGGTGGGTGCAGCACATGGGACACCTGGGGACATCCTGGACACAAACCCTCCTCCTGTGACACCCCGGGGCAGGGCTCTGGCTCTGCTGGTGATGCCCTTCAGGCAGCTCCTCCTCACCCTCAGCACCCACGGGGGCTCAGGGGGTGCCCTAAGCCTGCACAGCACCCACAGAAGCAGCAGCAGCCTTTGCCTGCTCCTCCTCCTCCTGCCTCCAGAGGCCAAAGCAGCTCCGAAGAGGAGCAGCCCCAGCTGCTGTGCCCATCCCGGGGCTTGGAGCTGCTCCTGAGGGAGCTGCAGGCAGGCAGGGGTGAGCCAAGGAAGGTGTTGAGGCTTTGGGGGCTGCAATTCCAGCCACAGCTCCCTCCTTGCTGTCCCTCATCTTTCCCAAGCCGCTGCCAGCACAGCTTTGATGGCACACAGGGAACGTCACATCAGATGGCCACAGCAATGCAAAAATGAGTAAAAAACCCCCAGGCTCAGAGCTTGTGTAAGTGGGAAGGTGGAGAGATCAGCAATGGAAAATCCTGCCTGTCACTCTATGGGGAAGGGCCGGTTCGGTCAGCACTGCAGGAGCAGCCCCAGGGAAACGCGCTCCACCCTCTCCCCGGGCTGGGATCTGCCTCCCCAGACCTGCCCCGCACACGGGACCTGCCGGCATTCCCTGTGCCTGGGCTAATCCCAGCGATTTCACACCCACAGCAGCTGCTTTTCCCCTGGGACTGCCCAGCCCTTCCCTTTGCACATCCCAGCCCAGGTCCCACCACAGGACCCCACACACAAAGTCTGAATTCACAGCAAATCCCAAATTCCTCCCATTCATGTCTTACCTTCTCCCCTGTAACTCACTGCCTCATATCCAGGCTTTCTTCCTTCCAAGCCTTTAGAGGAGAGTGTCACAAAGAGCTTTGGGAAGAAATCCAGCTACTTTTGGAGTAGATGACAAGACTTCCCAGTCTCTGACCCAGCAGCAGGACAGCGCTCCAGCCCAGTGACCAGAGGGTGTCACATCTGTACAACCCTTTAGTCAAAGGAGACTTCCAAAAATCCTTGATGCAAATATTAAGACAGTTTGGAAGCCAAACCCCACACAGTACTCTGCTGACATTTGGCAGCTTAAAATAAATGGGGAAAAAGAGGGGAAAAGAACCATTTTGGCTTTGCTGTCCTTGGCATGGTGTGTAGCTCTACCCCTCTGTAAGGTGCTGCTTCCTCTGGAGCTGTCTCCTTCAGACCATGGTTACGTGGAATATTGAATAGTGTCTTTAAAAAATCCCCAAAACATCCTGAGTCATAAACACTCCCTGATCCCAACCAGAGCCACGTGCATTGGAAATGGATGTTTTGGATGAACTCACCCAGGGATGTGGTAGGGGTTTTGAGGGAAGATGCTGTTTCCCTTGAAGCCTGCCATGATGATGTTACAGCTCTTGGTGGGGAGGGGGGGAAGGAGACACAGCTCAATGCAATCACCAGGGGAGCCTCTGTGATGTCAGCCCCCAGCAGGTTCCACCTGCAGCACAAAACCCCTCAGCTGCTCCTGGACACAGCTCTTTCCTTCCCCACCTGGACCTTTTGGAGGAGCACAGGAATTCTACGGCATTCATCAGCTTTCCTGAGGGCCCCCAGCCCTGGACCCAGCAGTGCCAGGCGCTCCCTGCGATGGCCCCAGCACGAAGTCAGGTCCGTGCTCACGTCCCCCAGGCTCTGCAGAGCCGCCCTCGCCCCCGGGGACATCGAGGCCACCCGTCCTCTGGCTGCTCCCCACTGTTTGAGGATTCCCTGCCGGTTCCTGCAGGATGAAGGTTGTTCCCAGTCCAACACCACATGCCTTGCTGGGTTTGTCCCTGCCCAGCTGAAGGCAGGCCCAGAACAGGGGCTCCTGTTTGCTGAACAGCCCAGGCACGGTTTGGGCTGGAAGGGACCATAAAAATCACCTTGTTCCACCCCTGCCATGGCAGGGACACCTCCCACTGTCCCACGCTGCTCCAGCCCCAGTGTCCAGCCTGGCCTTGGGCACTGCCAGGGATGCAGGGGCAGCCACAGCTGCTCTGGGCACCCTGTGCCAGGGCCTGCCCACCCTCACAGGGAACAATTCTTAATTCCCAATATCCCAACTAACTCTTCCTTCCTTCCTTCACCTCCTTGTGCACTCCATGCCCTCATACAGCCTCTGTACATTGAGCTGATCAGCTCCCAGATCTTTGGGAAGAAAAACATGGAATATTTTCCATGTGATCTCAGAACTGGTCACTGGTGCAGTTTAAACTTCTTGCAAATGAGATGTTTGAATTAAAAATTAAGTATGAACAAGCTTGGCTTTTAGACATCCCACTGAACTGAGTGTTCTTCAGCCCTTCAAAAAGTATGTAGTAACTTCTGAAGTTGAAAATTATTAACTTCTCCCTAAATTTCCCTCCCAGCTGACTGGAATTGCAATTGGAGCTGCAGCCACACTACTACTTGAAGTAGTTGTTCTGTTTGTCATGTATGGGATAAGGAGACTAATTATCAAGTACTTACCATGTAAGTTTTAAAACCAGTTTTTCCATCAATCTTGAGTCTTTTTGTAATTTTCTGTGGCAGTTGTTTGCTGCAGAGCTGTGGTTCTTGCAGGACAGCAGCTTTAAAGGATGGAGAACTTGTGCTGGTTCCCTTCCCCAGGTGTGAGCCCAGAAGTGTCACATGCAGGACCTGGAGGTTTTATTTCAGTGTCAGCCTCAGGACCAGCTGAATTCTGCAGATGAATTAAATGCTACTGTGATTTCACTGTCACAGATGGAGAAATGGTTGAATTAGAGGTTTCCTTGAGGAGATTAAAACCACCCAACCCTTCAGTCTGCCCAGAGAGCCCTTTATCTCCTCTGGGGCTGAGGTGGAGCCTCAAGGCAGCCCTGCCTGGGTCTGGCTTGGCCAGAGCTGGGGAGTGAGGGATCCCAGGTGGTTTAAACTCCAAACCCTGCCCACAGGAGCTGTTCTGGAGGCAGCAAAGTCCCCAAGCTGTGCTCAGGCGCTCTCCCAGCTGCTGAAGGTGGTTTCTGATGTGATGCTTCTGTTTCAGAACAACTTCAGCCACACGTGCCTCAGTACAGGTTTCGCAAGAGGGACAAAGTGATGTTCTACGGGAGGAAGATCATGAGGAAGGTGAGGGCACCTGGTGAAATCCAGTGTAAAGTGGAGAGGTGTAAAGTTTGCAACGCTTCACAGGCTGAGCCTGGCCCAGGGCCTTCAACCTATAAATGTCACTGGGATGTTGTGGATGTGTCAGAACTCCTGCAGTGCTGACTGCATTGCTGATGGAGCAGCAGCAGCTTCTCTTTCTGACCAGACCTTTCAAGAATATGGAATTGATTAAATGTCCCAGAATCCCAGACAGGTTTGGGTTGGAAGTGACCTTAAAGATCATCTTGTTCCACTACCCAGATTGCTCCAAGCCCCATCCAACCTGGCCTTGAGGACACTTCCAGGGATGGGGCATCCACAGATTCTCTGGACCACCTGTTGAATATTTGAGGGTTGTTCTTACCTGTTAAGGTGCCTAATTTCCCTCCAGCTTATGTCTGAGAAGATCAAAATGCTTCTCTGACTCCTGCCCTTGGTGCCTAAAAAGAGATCTGGTATTTTCAGCCTAAAATGTATTTGAGTTTGCCCAAATACTTGGGCTCTGAGCAGAGGCAGCCCTGCCCAGCCAGCCAGGGCTCTGCCAGGGGCACAGGGGCTCAGCTCAGGGTCAGTGACAGACCAAGAGGCAACAGGCACAGGATGCAAGGGAAAGACCCACCAGGCACAAGGATAAAGTTTTTCATGGGCACAGAACAGCTCTGGGACAGGGTCAGGGATGGCATTTCCAACCTTGGAAATTTTCAAAGCCCAGAGCACCCCCAGGGAACTTAGAAATCAGCTCAGCTTTAAGTGGGCATGTTGAGAAGGGACCTATAAAGGCTCCTCCCAGCCTAAAGCATCTGATTTTAACACTGAGATGAAAAAGCTGTTTATTGAAATGCAGCACCAACCAACAACCCCAGGCCCACTGAGGTCCCACCAGCACAAGGGGATTTGGGCCAGCACGTTTCCAGCATTTCCAGAAACTCCCTTCAAAAATCTCTTTTTTTAATGGTCTGTGGCTGCCCCCTCCAACCCCAGGGGTCACATCCTCCCCAAAGAGCTACTGAACAGCCACACCAAAGTGTCATTTCTCAGGGCAGACACCTGGGTACATAAAAAGAAGTGGAAATTCACTTTTGTCAAGGTTATCATTAGAATTTATTGATATGAGACAAACTTTGTATGTCACCATGTCAATGGAGGAACAGCATGCCCAGATGTCACAGAAGCCCAGAGCCCATCCAGGGACTCTCCCTGCCCTGGGAGCTCCCAGCTCTGGAGCACAGGAGACCACACACCCAGCTGGGTGGCACTGGGGACATTTCCTGGGGCAGGAATGCTCCAGAAATACCTTGGCTGAGAGGTTTGCCAGACTGCAGCACCCAGCAGGATCTGCTGGCTCTGACTCCAACAGGGAAGGGCAGCTCACCCCAAGCCACTCCAGTCACAGGGGCAAAAAAGGAAACCTAACAGGAGGGGAGATTCCAGGAATCCCTGCAGGGAGATTAGAGCACTTGGCCCCTCTGGCTCCTCAGCCCTAAAGGGGCTCAGAGGAGCAGCTGGGGTGGTGACAGATCCCCAGCAGGACAGCCCAGGCATGGCTGAAGCCTTCCCAAGGAGCAGACACAGCCATGCCATGCTCCAGCCTGGCATCTGCCCATTCAGAAGCAGGGTTTTTCTTTTAGCACAATTATGCCTGTGTTGTAACCACTCAGACATTCCCCTCTCAGCAGTGCCCTCTCCCAGCACAGCCAGCCTGTCATCTATGCTTGTGGCTATGATGAAAATTATCTTTATAATCTTTACTGGAAATACATTTTATGCTGGATTCTACTTAAAAAAAAAAAAAAAAGCCAAGTGCTGAGCTTTCATCTTCTCTCAGCTTATGAATATTTGGTTTGGTCCTAAGTATCTTGCTAAATGATTAGAGAGGGAATAGCAGAGTATTCCCCAGGCACCTGGTAAATCCACAATGGATTTATTGTAGAAACACACTAAATTCTCTAACTCACTCCAAATGGATTTCAGAGCCCTCTAAAACCCTCCAGAGAATGAGCTGTTTGTGACAGGACACACAAAAAGCAACCCCAAGTTCAATGAGTAACCGAGATAAAGGACAGGCCACAGCAGGGGACGTGCCAGCCCAGCCCCTGTGACAGGGCAGGGACAGCCTGGCCATGGCACCAACCTGCTGCACACCTGGAGAGGAACCTCAGGCTCCAGACACACACGTGTGACCTGTGTGCTCCTCCTGTCCCTCTCCTGGGAGCTGTGGCAAGTGACAGAGAGGGTTCTGCTCTCAGCCATCTGGTTCCACCCAATCTAAGTTCCCTCTCACACGTAACAGCATTGATTTAGAGATCTCATATTGATGGGTAATTATACAGGATTAATTGCACATCAGTCCATTGTGGCTACAAGTTCATTAGGTTAATAACTCTACATAGTGACAGTAGTACAGTATCAGCTACTTCTCAATACAAACTCCCTAACCTAACCTTAATTTGTAGGTCAGAGGAAGACCTTCTAACACAGTGACCTCCCAATAACCTTTAACATTCATTTCAAAATCATTTTTTCTAGAAAACAAAAAAAAATCCAGTGTGGGGAAAATGCACATATATAACCAAAGCAGTGCTTAACAACCACAGGAAAACAGAACATCATCTTGGACTCTTGTTTCAGCATCTTCTGTGGACCCTGGCAGTGTCACTCCCAAAGGGTTCCTCAATGCTCCGTCAGTTCCCAAGTCCATTAAACCATTTCCCAGCTCCAGATGTTTCTGGCCTCTCACCATTGTCTGTAGCAAGAGCACACAGAAACATTTGCTCATGTGCACAAGACTTCCATCAGATTCCATGGAAGAGCTCTGGAAGGCTGCAGCCTTTCCTTCCAGAAACCTGCTCTCGAGTGGCAGCACTCTCACCGACCGGTGCCTTCTCTTCCAGCCAGGAGGGAGCTCCAAGTCCCTCCAAGCTTTACTCATTCCTTCTGCCCAAAGCTGTATGGGTATCCAATAAAACCCCTCTCACAGTATTCCCAGGAAATGATTCAGAAGAGGAGATGATTTTTCAACCAAATGAGATCCTCTGGTCCTGTGTGTCAGACCATGGCCAAGAGAATGAGCAGCTGCCATGGACGTCCCAACTGAAATAGTCAGGGAGGGGAGCGAGGTGGCCTGACTGTGAGGGACAGGCAAAGAGACCCCAAAGTCACTCTGTTCTCGAGTTTGCCTCTTTCCTAGAGTCAAATGTTTGATTCCATTTGTTCTAGCAGGAACTGGTGGATCATGTCAAAAGTGGGACGATCTTTGATATCCCTGCTCCAGCATTTCAGCATCAGGTCGAACACAGGGTTAGGACACAGAGGAGTCTGGGACAGATAGATCTGAAAGGAAGAGCCACAGTGTTTCAGTGGGGTTCTCACAAAAGCACTGAACCTTTACTCAAGTAACACCAAAAGACAGTTTCATTCCAGGTTTACAAGACACAGCCACCATGCAGTGTTTGGAATCCCTCCAGCTCCAGTCTGGCAGTGGAGTCTGGACAGAGCCTCTCAAACAGCACCACGGACACTTTGCCAACTTGTCTGATGAGCTGGTCACAAAACAGGCCTTTGTCCCCCAGAAAACA